CTGTATTGTTCTCTGTCCATCTACCTCTCTGTCTCCTCTGGCTTCCTGGGGACTCCAAGGACAAATTTTCTGGCAAAGAGCCGACATCGTGGGTTTAGACCGGAAGTGCCTCCTTCAGGGCCCAGGGCCTCTTGCCAGCCTCACTTCTCGTCTCCCAAGTTTCATCTTCAACTTTTCTGCCCTGATTGACTGATTACAGCTCAGAGCCTGCAGTCAGACAGACCTGTTTCCATCCGGCTCCACCACTTGGCCAGGATCTTATGCAAGTCTCTTAAGCTTTTTGAGCCTCAATTTCCTCAGCTTACAAAACAGAAACAGTACCCACCTGGAAGGGTCATTGGGAAGAGTCAATTAAGTAACATGAAAGAAAAGATCAAGCCCAATACTGGGCACATGTAGGCATCCCATTTATATTAACTAAAATCTCCTTTGAACGTTTCCTTTGGCTCTGAGCCCTAGCTTAAGCCTAACTCTATTGTTATCTCCATTATCTATATTGCTTTTGTTAAATAATGACCTAAAACCTACATGTGTTGTAACGAACACTTATGTTGGCCAAGGGGATTAATCATATCATTACTAATCAGAATGATGATGGTAATGACAATAATAATTGCTGGCTGCTATAACCCTTCTAGAAACACAAAGCGTTTAGGAGAAGCCACTTTGATCATTTGAGATTGGGTTACGATCCTTTTTGATTTATGGTTCTCAATCCCCATCCTCTTCGAAGGCCACTATGCTGACCCCGCTGTGCGGGCTGCAGGGGCTGTGCAGAGCCAGTGGTCAGAGCTCTCCAAGCTTTGTGTCTCAAGCCCACAGCACAAGAGTGAAGGAGCCGGTAGCCTGGAGGTTGGGAGGAGGGACTGGGGGCATAGTGGGACTACCTTTCCCCCAGCCTTGGAAACATCAGAGTGTGGATTAAAGCGAAGTACAGGGACTTAAGAGTAAACGCCAAGAACAGTTCTTGGACATGAAGGTAGATGAGGTCTGCCCCTCCCTGAGCATTCCCCACCATCCGCTCAGGGGCTCACACAGAAAACAAAGGATTGATGGAAAATGTGCAGCAGGACTTAGCTGCAGTGACGATTTCCACACCCAGAGCTAGCAAGCACCTCAGAGACTTGAGGATCCATCAGGAACAATCACAGACATGGAGGAGGGAGGGGGAGGCTGCTGGCACTCAGGAAGCTAGCAGACTCAACCTTACCTATGGATGCCACTTTGGTTTTGAATTTTGAGGGTTTTTTTCTCTTTTGAGGGGCAGGGGAAAGGGTATCGGGAGCCTGCCTAGATGGTTGAATATTATAAACCTTGACCGAGGTCCTGCTATCCACTCTTTCATTTAAGGGAAGTTATGCAACCCCTCGGCTACCTCCTGGGAGGTTTCAGTGTGTGTCAGCTTCAATCTCTTAGCGCAGTGCAGGGCACAGTGGGTGTCTGGTAAATGGTGGGTTTTATCATTCTTTTCTCGCCAGATCCCAAATCGACCCTAAGGTCTCAGAGCCTCCAGACCAGCAAACACCATCAAAACCAGCAGGCTCCAGAGCAAGCCATAGGAAGCCTGTCAGTTTTCTCCAGGAAACACTCCTCCCTGGGAATCTGCAACCTCTGCTTCCTGCCCCATTTCCCAGCCCACTTTCCCAAGATGAGGCAGCAGGAACTCAGCTGGGTTGAGGTTAGACTGAGTAGAACTTTCCAAATGGGCAGGAATGAGGATTGAGAGGGGAATGGAGGCATCTGCTTCAGAGGAGGCAAGCAGGAGAGATTTCAGAATGTCAGCTGCCGGTTGAGAAACAGACGGATGACCCATTAGGGCAGACTCCAAGTGGGCATGCATCTCTTCACTCCTTAACTTCCAGGGATGCTGTCATTTCAGGCCAGTCTCACATTTTCGGAAACCCCTGCTCCCAACTGCCTGTCGGTTTGTCAATTGATCTCCCTGGCACTGAGCATTCCCTGGGAAGGGAGAGCAAAATACTTAAGGACTTCTTGGTGCTGGGAGTGGGGGGAACCAGAAGGGTCTTAAAACCTGAAGTTTCTATGATTCCTTGACTTTCCAATACCCACAGCCTTTCTGCTGCATCCCATGGGTTCTTGCTACTCAAAGTATACTCCACGGACCAGCAGCATCAGCATCACCTAGAAGCTTGTGAGAAGTGCAGGCTCTCAGCCAGGCTCGGTGGCTCAGCCTGTAATCCCTCGCTTGGGGAGGCTGAGGTGAGTGGAT